GGCTCCGTCCATTTCACTTTCGATTTTCTAGTTTGACTTGCCATGAAGACTGGTCCCACGTAGAGAAGTATAATCGCTGATAACTGTAGATAAAGGGCCGTGCAGAAGCTTTCAATGCTGTAGTAGTGTTCTTAGAATTATAGTGTTGTTAGGAGTAAAAAACAAGATATATATAGTTGTTTAACAACGTGCAGAAAAGCATTATATTTGATAGTGCAGTGAGCGCCATCCCTACCCATCGGCCGCCATGCTAATATATAAAATAAAGTATTTTATGTGTTGATTCGTCTGAAATCAGTCCAAAAGCCTTTTGGATTTTTGGATATAATAATAATAATAATGATAATGATAATGATTATGATAATAGAAAAGAAAAACAACAACAACAATAACAACAACAACAAAGAAGAAAAAAAGAAAGAAAAAGGCTGCGTTAAACAAAACTAATTATATATATTTTCTAAACAGGTCAAGTGAAAGAAGGTACTTTTAAGTATTTATAAATTCTAGTAGAGGCGATGGAGACATCTTCCTTAAATACATTGAAATATTTTTACTCCCCGTTGATATTGACTTATTTGCTAGTTCAAACTGGTACATTGATTTGAGGTAAATTAGAAAATTATCAAAGTTAGGCTTATTTTTCTTGTATTTGCTGCTCCAAATGTAGTAGCGAAAGTTTAAGAAAATAAAGTTCATAAAAATAAAGTATTTTATGTGTTGATTCGTCTGAAATCAGTCCAAAAGCCTTTTGGATTTCTAGGTTATAATCAACAGAACAAATTCCAATTTTGGTAAGCCACGATATCAGGTTATTCCAAAGGTTTGATATTACTTCACAAGTCCAAAAGGTATGAAGAAAGGTTTCTGGAAGGTGACTGCAAAAACTACATACATCGCTGTCAAGAATTTTCATTTTTTTTAATAGCACATTTGTAGGAAGGATTCTATGAAGGAATTTAAATTGAAAACATAGTAGTTTAGTATTCTTTGTGAAACTTGCGGTGAGAGTATAGGCATTACTCCATATAACTGAATCAGTACAACAATCTTCAGACGAACGATATTGAGCTTTGGTTGGAGTTGTTTTCTTTTTGTCTATGTATTTATTATATGCSATTTTACTAGGTCTTTTTGATTTCAGAAAAGAGGTTTTAAAAGTTACCGGTSAAGTAGCCTCCCATTTTGTCATCGAAGAACGTTTAAGTTTATTAATAGATTTCGTAATTGCTCCATAAAGAATAAAATTGGGATTTTCCGGAAAATCAAATTTTGCTTTGAAATCTTGAAGCGATAGTGTCTTGTCTTTGTTATCTAATATAGAGTTTATTGTCGTAATTCCCCTAGTTAACCAACTTTTAACTGGAATGATAGGTTTATTATCGAATCTGATTAAAGAGTTGTTCCATAATGGGAGTGCTTTCAAATGGCTTTCTGAGATTGCATACTCCTCAAAAKCTAATTCTGTCCAAATGGTGAAATCCTCTTTAATAAAAACATCAGAAAAATTATGAGTTTTAAGGTGGTAGATACGGCTAAAATGCACGCGTTTTGGATATTTTTATAAAAGAAACAGACTGCTATTTGCTCAATTATTCATACATGGACACATACTTTATAAAAGTTTCGACCAAAATGTGTAGTCAAATGTGTGAGTTTTGGAAATGGACAGGGAACCCAGGGCTGTCAAATCGTATTTATTATGATTTCTCCAAAAATATACAGAGCACGTCACTCATATTGGCCATGATTATACTATAGATAAAGGGGAAACTTTGTGCCGCAGCCCTTTTTCATGAGTGTTATTTGAAAAGAATTTTGAGCTTTCAAATTTTTGCCATTCTTATGCATTCGTCAAATAATCACAAAACATCGAACAGTAAAGGGCTTTGGTGAAAACAATTTTCTAAAGTCACTTTATCTCTCRGTCAAATTTCTTTATCATAGTCCAAAAGGTCATTTAAAAAATCAAAAAATAGTGTAGAAGAATAGATTCACAGGTAACCATAACACATTGCACATTCGGCGTGGCATCAAGCAGTGCGTAATCCTACTACGCAAGCTCTGTGAAACTAGATAYCRSAAGTGAACAAGAAATTGCTATCTGATTTCAAGATGGCGGATCAAAATGGCCGTTTTAGTTACCACAAACTTGAGTGTGTTCACTTCAAACCATACAAAAAAACACAAGCATTTATAGCGGAATGTATTTAGACATATCTAGTCAATGCTTTTCACCGAAAAAAATGACATGCATTTTAGCCGTATCTACCACCTTGAAAGCGTCTTGATTAGAGAGATTGCTGTTGATTAGCAACCTAACACCTTCCATTTTCCAAAATTTTGGTCAAGATATTTTTTCATCCAAATTGCTTTTATAGCTTTATTGAAGGATTCTAGGTTGAGTATTTTAAGTCCTCCCTCTTTGTAGTCCATAATGATTGTATTGCGTTTAACCTTATCTCTTTTACCGTTCCATATAAATTCAAAAAAAAACTTGGCTTATTTCTTTAATAGCGTCATTAGATGAAGGTAACGAAGAAAGTATGTATACCAATTGTGATGCTGCTAGAGCCTTTATCACTAATATTTTACCTTTTAACGTAAGTCGTCTGAAAGCCCATGTGCTTAAATTTTCTTATTTTCTTAATTTTATCAGAGAAATTGACTTCAACAGCTTTATTTGGTATTGCTGATATTTTAACTCCAAGTGTTTTTACAATTTCTGGCCATCTAAAATTTTCAGCCTGATTAGTCCCAAAAACTCACAGAGCTAAGATTCTGGTCTTCAACTTTTGTTATATTGATCACCTTTTTTATTTCCTTTATATATTCTATATCGCCTAAAAGCGAAGTATTTAATTTCCAAAAACCAGGTCCCCTTTTATTGTCGTTAACAGAAATATCAATCGTAATCATTGAGTGATCAGATTTRTAACCAGGCAAAATATCGGCATTTGCTATTTTAGGTAAAAGAGATTGGCTAGCTAAAAAGAAATCAAGTCTGCATTTTATAGGAGTTGGCTTTTTCCTGCGCCAAGTGAATCTTGCTAGGTTTGGATTAAAAATCCTCCACGGATMAACTAGCTCATATTCCTCAGAGAAATCTTGAACAACTTTCAAGGATTGAGTATGCGTTTTTGCCAGTCCACSAACCTTGTCTATCTTTAAATCTAAGACTAGATTATAATCCCCTCCGATGATAATGTCTTCACACGAGAAGGTCGGCAAAAGTTCGAAAAAGTTTTTAAAGAATGAGGGATTGTCATTATTTGGAGCGTAGATATTTGCTACAGTCATTGTCAGACCGTCAATGTTGATATCACAAAGGACGAAGCGACCTTCAGGGTCCGAAAAACTTTTTAGTAGATCATATTGAAAATTATTATTGAAAAGTATTATTGCACCACAGCTATTAGTTGATAGCAATAAACTCAAAACCCCATTCCATTTTCCAAGTTGCAAGGTCCGATTCTGAACTATGAGTTTCTTGCAACATGTAAATTCTTACTCCTAAGCCAATTAAAAATTTCTTTTCTTTTTTGTCCGCCTCCAAGACCTCTTGCTCTTGCATTAAAAGAAGCTATTTTCAAAGACATACTTAATATATAAGAGTATTATTCCGAGCTGTTTACATTCACCTTTTGTACTATAGTGAATAGTCAGAGATATGCTTAGTTTAACAGAGATGCAGCCTCTATTGTGAATAAAATGATCAAAAAAAGAACTTAAAGCAAAGCATTGTTTCATAGTTAGCAATTTGCTCATTTGATATGCAAAAATGAGACTCGTATATAACATTCATGTGTGTTTAGCTGGAATGATACTCGAATGAAAAAAAGTAAGATAAAGAAATTAACTAGTACACCTATATTAAAGTATATTAGCTATATAGACAGCGTCCAGTATCATATATAAAGTTTATATAACTATATTTTCAACTCCATGCAGCCCTCCCTTGAGTTTCATTCGAGACCAAATCGTGATGATATAATTGCCCGTCAATATATAGTTTGTCGGGTTCAGATCTGCTAAAAACTGCTTTCTTACCCTGCTTCTTAGCTTCTTTAAGTGCGCCAATCTGCTTCTTTCTCGCGTCTTCGATGACTTTAGGGAAATCTTGGAAGATTATGTATTTTGTCCCTTTAAGGTTTCTTGCGCGTCTTAATATCCTTTCCACATCAGTGTATCGGAGAAATCTAGCTATGATTGTTCTTGGTTTTCCGKGCTTTCCTTTACTTTGTCTGTGCACTCTTTGGTATTCAATATCGTAGGCGTTGTCTAAGCCTAGGGTTTCCTCCAGAGAATCTGCAACATCCTCTGACAGACCAGTGCATGGCAGGTGCCACKAAGTATTGCATTTGTCACAGCAAATGCTGTTTTCGGTTTCTGGAGTGCTGATCTCTGGCTCTTCTAGAATAATATCATCACACTTTGGGCATTGGTATATGTCTCTATACCCCAACATGCATGGCAAAACATATGTCTTGTAGAACAGAGTAATATTGTTCACAACAATGTTACAGAAATTCCTATCAAGGTCCACTCTTTCATACATTGGTTTGTGTCCTTTAGTCCATACAATAAAATATCAATGGTCAGTGCCTGTTACCCACATCTGGGCTTGCATTTGCGTGTAGTATTTGTGCGAACGCTTGAGGCTTGGCTTCCCCTCTACATCTTCTAGAAAGTCCACACGTTTGTAAGTGGCTTCTAAGTTGATGTCTTCATCTTTTACTTTGTATGGGCATTTCACCTCAAGTACAGCTGGACAACAAGTACAAGTACAAGTACAGCTACAACAATCACATAAAAACATACCATCTGGAGATGCAGCAAGAAATGGATAATCAGACTTTATAAACAAGCCACATTGTCTGAATCCATTAAGTCCATTTGCATGCTGTGATGCCACATAAGACATAAATGCTTTTATAGCATCTTTTTCATGGTCATTTCCCCATTTGATTTGTGGTAAATGAGAAATGTCATCACTCTTATTCAAAATATTGAACACAAGAGAGGTATATGTGCTTTTCTTCTTTCTTTTTGAATGAAGAATGTTCTCCATTTTAGCGTGGTGCTGGTGAAAGTTAGATGCTGTAATACGTCCTTCTCTGTGCTTAAACCATTCTTTATTACTGCTTTGTCCTCGAGTGGTAACTTCTATTCTTCTTACTTGATCACTGGACATCTGGCAATACTCTAAAAATGGAGGTGTTACTTCTTCGCAGGTTTTATTTTTTATATCATTATGTGATATAAAATCTGCAGCTTTCTCTTTCAAAGGCTGAGGGGGACCATCTCTGGCGTGTTCTATAGAATTTAGTACACAGCATGATGGCTCACATTCTTTAATGGCACACAGAAGACCAGACACTCTCTCATCAGTGAGCACTCTGTCATTAGGCTTCCTGGGATCAAAGTATTTCCTTAATTCTTGTGACAATGCTGGATCTCTATCATTTTCCTTTCTGGTTTTCTTATGTTTAACAAAGTTGAGATCCCTTATCTGGCTCGGACGGACCTCTTTCTTTGTCCCCCTATTCCAACCTTGGGGAATGCTTGTGCATGCTGGTGATACATAGTCCTTCTTTACAGCATAGAGCAATGACATGGTTACATGCCTCCCCAGTTCCAGCTATGCATGTACACCACGATGTTACAATTCTGGGATTATTCTTTGGTGCAAATCCATATTGATGTGGATCTTCGTTAAGTCTCTGTGATGGAGAGACATTACCTTTCAAAAACACGGTGTCTATAAATCCACTGAGCCAATAAGAGTATGACTTCTGGTCCTTATACTTGCCAATGTACTCTACATCAACTGCTTTAACGCTCAGAATGTAGCTAAAAAGCATTCCATCGTCTATCTGTGGCCATTCTTGCACGTTTTCGTGCCACGCTTCGTTTCGAAGCGTCTTCGGATCAATGTCAATCTTATGTTTTTTAAGTCTCTGTTGGTACTCTTCTTGAAGTTTCTTATTGATTTCCTCTTGCGAGAATTTCTTTGGTGCTTTTAGTGGAGAAAATGTGTTTGTTTGTATATCTAGATGCCTGATTATGATAAGACACATTTAATCAGTACACATTATATACACGTATCATGTAAATTCAGAGACTAAGTGATGCTTTTTTTCTATTTAAGGATTGCAGGGTATCGGTCAGACTTAAGAGTCTTTAATCAGCCTGTTGAACTTTGGCTGTGAGTTATAAACAAGAGGCCGTTATGCATGAGCATGCGCGCAACCGCTGCGTCATAACGACCATGGGCTCTAGAATACGGGTAGAATAACATTGTAGTAGCTGCGGAAGCTTCGATTCTGAACATAATTGTTGTTTTTACTTATCTTCCACATTTTTCCAAACAAAACCAAGTAGATATATTTACAATGCACACGAATATCTTTCAAACTTTATGTAAATTACTGTGAGTCTCGGGCTAGATTTATAACACGGAGCCACTTTGTACCGTTAAAATGTAGTGAATTATTTGTGCACACCTTTAGCAATAATAAATTCCTGAGATGTGAATCGATTGCACTGCAATAGTTTATTTCATAACTTATAATGATACAGCTATAGATCTACACATAGATATTTATGATAACTTGATTCAAACAAGCTCAACTCTTCAGCCAAAAGAATGCTAAATCTCTCGTGAGTGCTTAACAGCACGTAAGAATTTGCAGAATTAACTCCGTTCCACATTTTTCATAGACAAGAAAACATTATCAAACCATTTRCAAAGCATAAGTCTTGATATTGGWAGCCTTATTCTAATGAGTCCTGGTGGTATATAAAAGGAAAATGTATTTAACATTGTTTACTTAACTAGCGCATAGTTAAGGGGAGTAAATGCCCAAGGGGATTTATGGATCAGTGGTTAGACTAATATAAATAGGCAATAGGATTGCACAATTTTCCATTCGCGTCCAACGTTCTCTAGCGTCGTGCAAAAAAAAAAAATGCGAATTTTTTCCTTTTACTTATTCTAATATATATATTATACATATTATGCAGTCTGGCATGTGTAAAACWTGCGTATAGTCAATAGTCTTTCGTAAGCAGTATGGTTCTTTCTCACGTGCCTGTTTCATGGCGATCCAATCGCTGCATTTATCATTCATTGCACTCATTATATACTGACATTTCAATAAAGCACGCACGCGCTGCCGTGTGGACACTTCCCTAAAGTCTGTTAAGTATTAAATGGTAAATGATTTATATTCGGTTGAGCGGGGGAGCGAATTAGAATATAAGTAGTATTTCATGTAACAGTTAATAATATTTAAGCGTAAATATTATTGTACACTTCAAGAAACTGTCTTTCGAACATTTCGAGGTCGATGTTACTAAACGATGCCTAATTATATTACTACATGTGTACATTTACCATTTACTTCATGACTTGCGTTGAATCTTGACCAGCACTCAGCAAAACTGGAATAGTAGTTGCGTATATAAACCACTACAGYCTCCATATTGTAAACACAAAGTCATTAATATCAACATTTCTTAAATAAGATTTTAAACGGTCCCAATCAGTCCAATAACGCCAGTGTTTTTACTCGTTGTAGGTTACACTATTTATGAGTGTTCTTGAGTCATGACAGAACATTTCAGGGTCAAAAACAGCCAAAAACATTTTTGGAAATTGTCCTTCGTGTCGTTGTAATTTCTCGCTTGAAGTGAATCACTAATGAATTTCAATGAATTTTCAACAGACTGGCGCATGCGCACGCCAAACGGCCCCTTGTTTGAGTTATATTGCTTTAATTCAAGTTATAATGTGATCATGTACACGTGCTCTGTAAAACAGTGTAAGAGAGAGTAATTTACATAAAGTCTAATTCTTATATCAAATGTCAATCAATGTCTATTATCAATCATCGTTCGGAGGCATACTATGACACAGCCAAAGGTTAAAGGGGCTGTTTCACGCTTCTGCGCATGTCACGTGGAATTTCTGGTCCGGGCCATTCAAAAGTCTTTGAGACGGGGAGAATTATCATCGTTGTTCATATCTCGAAAAATCTTTTAAAAAACAAACCATCAAACGTTCTTTTCTTATTTTTTTCATTAACTGATAATCAATTATCCATTTGGAGAACCTATTTTTGCTCTA